TACACATCCCCGGAAGACCTCTGTAGCACAAATCACCCTGTCGGCGGCTATGGAAACCCGCAGAGGCCGACTCAATACTCCACGACTAACACTGATACGCTGACTAAATGCCAAGATACAAAAGATCGACTCGCACCCGAGTCAAATAACACTAAAGCAGGTACAGAATTCACAAGGAAGGTACCTAAGCATAGCATGATATAAGCATAATATCTCAACACCATAAACAATAATGAAAAGGAAACATACCAGCCACAACATCGGGCAAGGCGCGGACCTCTTCCGCAGTCAGCTGGAAGGCTCTCCCCCGAGCCCTTGGCGCCTCGGCCTTCACGGGCCGACTCTCTGCAGCAGCAGCTCTGATGGCGGCGGGGGCAGACCCCTGAGATGCCCCGCGCAGCAGTGGACACTCCGCCTTCCGGTGTCCGTCTGGTTGCAGTGGAAGCACACTGCAAATCCCTTGGGGCAGTCCTTAGCCATATGCCCCTCCTTGCCACATTTGTAGCAAGACCCTGCCCGACAGACGCCATCGTGACCCTTGCCGCACTTCCCACAAGTGCGGCCCTTCTGGCTCCCGGGTCTGGGATCAGCGGGCTTGGCCCGCTTGGCTGCCGGCTGGGACTGTGCCGGTCGCCGATCCCTCCCCATAGACTCCGCCTCCTCCCTGGCCTGAGTCTCAAGCTCAATCTCCCTCTTCCGAGCATTTGCCTGAAGCTCGGCAAATGTCCGGTACGAGGAGTTCGCAGCGAACTCCCGAATATCCCGCCTCAAAATGCTCAGATAACGGCTCATACGTGCCTGCTCGGTGGACACGTGCTCAGGGCAAAACATCGCCCTCTCCTGGAACATCCTCGTAATCGCTGTAACCGACTCGGTACCCTGCTTGAGGGTCAGAAACTCCTGCGCCAGACGTTCCCTCTCCACCTGAGGAACATACTCATCCCGGAACATGGAAGTGAACCTCTCCCAGGTCACTGCCGAAAGCTCAGCCGGTGTGAAATGCGCAATCACAAACTTCCACCAGTCCTTCGCTCCCAAGCGAAGCTGGTTCAGCGCGAACCGAACCTTCAAATGCTCGGGGGACGAGCAAGTGAAGAAGCATCCCTCCATATCAGATATCCACCTCATAGCCGCCACCGGATCCTGTGTACCATCAAACTCTGGTGGCTTGGTGTTGCTGAACTCCCTAAACAACATCGCATCACCTCCCTGGGGTCTCGTCGCAGCAATCGCTGCGGTAGCCGCTGCAACCGCAGCCTCAGAAAGAGCGGCATAGCGCTCATCAAACATCTCAATCAAAGCGGTCTTGATAGACCCGAACATCTCTGGTATCTCAGCTCTGATGACCGCAGCCACCTCCTCATGAATGATCTGTCGAATCTCCTCATCACTAGATCCGGCATCCTCCGGCATGTGTCGTGTCCTCACCATGATCAATCTCTGAAATACAACATACGATAATTAGAATTCACTCGAACACTCTTACATTCAACAATCCATCCCTCCTTGATTCTTGGCATCCCCAGATTCTTATTTGGACTGTGTACCGTACCGGTGCTTTGAGTAGTACGGGCCCAATACTACTGTCCGCACCGTCTCAGTACACACCCCAAATCGTCCTCTTCGGATCCCAGTCCCCAAGTACTCTATTATACTTAAATCACTCTGGAACAAATCTCACACAAAGCCCTAGCTGCTACCTAATTACTCTTAGCATCTCATAGCAGCTCACCATTCCCTAAGCTAAGGCATCACAAAACAGGTCACTCTAGTCCTATCAGCAATACCTAGCCTGCTCTAGCATGCAAACACATCACAGTATTAATTATTTCATAACAAAAGGTATTTTGGGAATTCACCGTTCGGGCGCTGACTGATCGTACACACGTTTCTTCCTGGAAAACCCTTTACTCTTAGAAAATTTTGGTTTTATTTTTGAAAATATCTCTTTAATTCCTCAGTTTGAGTTCAAATACTCCCGAAGGTGTACCCGAATCCCTCAAACCAAGGCTCTGATACCAATTTGTAACACTGATTTTCAAACAAAATTTTTAATTTTTATATAAAACATAATTCCACTAATATTCATAAAAACACCCATTTTACTTGTTCAATAAAACAGTACAAAATCCCAAGATCAACATGTAAAACTTCAAACGTGTGTGTACGGATCAAGCCGGCGCCTTCCCGCGGTCGTCACTAGCACCTGAAACAAATAACATCAACACTGTAAGCACAAAGCTTAGTGAGTTCCCCAAAATACCACATAAAACACATATTAGCCACTCGAGGCTATAACTCTGTGGGTCCGTGCACCCAAACTCTGTGAACCCTCAGGTTCTAGCTCTGATAAACATGCACAGCATCAAACACATAAAAGTAATGCAGTACAACACATAACATACATAGCATACAAATACTCTAATCACATAACTCTGGTTACCTACTCAAGGTAAAGTATAGTGAGGAGACTCACCTCGTGTGTCTCGGTAACTCGTAACCCTGAAATCACTAAACACTCGATCCGCCGAGCTGTAGTCCCCCTATGGCACAATACATCTCTAATTAACACTCTCCCAATCTAGGGTTGATCACACTATAACAAATCACTCTTGGTCAACGCTGGTCAACGGTCAACGGTCAACTCTGACCGGACTCGGCGAGTGCACTATGGCGACTCGGCGAGTCCGTGCGCATGCACCAACTTCCCTGGAATCCTCCCTTGACACGTCGAGTATTTCCCCCATCTCAACGAGCTCCACCTGGCACGAGTTGTGGGGCCACCACGACTCAACTCGCCGAGTCTCAAGAACAACTCGGCGAGTCCAGTTTGACTCGGTCCATCTGACCATCCTGACTCTCCCTTGACCCACTGAGTTCACCTTTCCCAACTCGGCGAGACCACTCGCTGAGTGGTCGCGCAACATTCATGCTACTCGCCGAGTCTGTTCTTCGGACTCGGCGAGTCCGTGCCATGCACTGACTCAATCTTGCTCTAAAGGCCAGATCCAGTCCACTAATCCATAGATCCAGTCCCCCATGCTTATTTAGCACGTAAAGTCACAACCTTGATGCATAAATAACCTCTACATGATCACAAATGATGATTTTGACTCTATTACTTCAACACAAGGCCAAGGACTCCATTTTCACTCATAAAGCTTGATGAGTGAGGCCCTCTGGACCTCTATGGATCCAGATCCATGGTCTCAACTCAAAGAGGGGACAAAAGGGCACCAAATCACCCCATAAATGATCATATTAAGCCCTAACTTGCATCAAGTTCATCAAACAGGAAATGGTCCGAAAATAATACCTCTAGAGTGATGATCCAAGCTCCAAATCCACGAAGTATCAACCTCCTTTGCTTCCTCTTGCCTAGAGCCTCCTTCTTCTTGCTAAACAACACTCACAAGGTCAAGATTTGCTCTCAATCCTTCACCAAACGCTCAAGAACTCTAGGGACACACTCTGGGGGTTGGATGAGCGCAAATGACGGCCATAAGGCCCTTTAAATAGGCCACAAACCCAGAGATTTAGGGTTTCACTACACAGCGCAGACTCGCCGAGTCCATACCTTGGACTCACCGAGTCCAAGCGCGCACCTTCTCTCAAACCCGCGTCTCTACTCGGCGAGTCTGAGCCCCGACTCGCCGAGTCCCTCTTACAAAATAACATAATTAAACTTTCATTATACCTGGTAAAAATCCGGATGTTACAAAGTTTTCGTAAGTGTTAGTAAGTTAACTGAGATTGTTACTTAATGTTAGTTTC